TGGGAGACCCCAGCGAAGCTCCTGGCTTCAGCCTGGTGTAGCCCTGACTGTTGTGGCCACCTAGGGAGTGAACCAGTGGATAGAAGATCTCTGTTTCTGTCTCTCCCTCTTGCTCTCAAATAAATAAACGAATCTGAAAAAAAAAAAAAAAATAACAAGTCATTTTGTCTTTTACATTATTACAAAAGTAATATTTTTGCACTGAACTTGTAAACTGGCAATTCTTATACATAATAGATGGAGACAATTTTGAATAGGACTATTCTAAATTATTAAATCTCCTCGATCACATAAAGTGAATTACAAAACAACGGATAAACAGTAATACTGACATCAATATAAGGGTAACTATTTTATGGAGAATTGAAGGCACTTTATCTGAAATAGTGGCTCTTTAAGTTGTTCTTCACTTCTAGGGAAACCATTCAACTGGAAAATGTATGTCAGCAAAACTAGGGGCTAATCAAAGTAAACTTTTAGAACACATATTTTCAAACCTTAAGAAAGGCATAAATAAAATTTTGTGAAACCTGTGCCACAGTCAGAACTGTGGTTCTGCAGAGAGTAAAAGGGGAAGTGAAAAGAATGGTGAGGGGAATCAAAGGGGCCTTGTAGGATAGGGAACACAAGAGCCAAGGGCCTGGAGCAATAAGCAGTTGGCTTGCTAATTCCACACTGTGGTAATCCCAGAAAAAACTCAGTAAATTCAGTCACTATACCACAATACATATTTGTTACTTTTTTTTTTAAAGGTTGATTTGGGGAGATGCCACTGAGAATGTAATACTTAAGCAAAAACCTGGTAAGAGAGTGAATCTGGCACACACATACACAAAAGCACTTCAGATGTCTCAGTCACTTCAAACTAAAAATATTCAAAACTAAACTTATTGTGTTTCTTTCCAAATCAGCCTCTTTCTGTATTTCCTTTACCTCTCAATTGTGCCATCAGCTCTCCCACTCCAGAAATCTGAGCTTTACCATTAGACTTTTACTCTTCCCATAACTCTGAACAACAATCTGTAGCACAAATCCTTTTTAATCCTATCTCTTAATAACTCCTATTGACTTTTCAATCCTATTGCAAGGATTATTATTACTGTCTTTGCTCATGCCATCAGCATTTTCCTCTAGGATTTTAAAATATGCATTGTCTTAACCAATCTTCCTACCAGCAATCTTGCTTCCTCCAGTCCATCCTTAGTACTGCCCACCTGTGGCAGGTGTGATCTGCAAAGTTTTCCAAGCCATTTTCCTACTTAAACTTTGCAGCCGTTTCCCATTATAGTCCAATCCCATCTCCTTATTGTAGCAGGAAGGGTCTTAGCATACCTACCCTTCTTGTCTTCCCACTTAACCTCTCCAAGTTTCTTCTCACCATTTCAGGTAAATTTACTGGTCCTTGTTCTATAGAGTTCCTCTTAGAAGTGACCCCTTTCATGCTGTACTCTCTTACACAATTTGTTCAGGTTACTTTAACAGTGGTTAGTCTTTCCCAAACACAGCTCAGTGACTGGTTCCAAACAGGTGCTAAAAAAAGGAATGCATAAAATGAAATGTATTGCTCTTAATGATTGGTGTAATATAAATATGGACATGGCATATCTATGCTCCAGCCCTGGAAAGAGGGTTCCTCTCTCCTCAAACCCTCAGAATTACCTTAGAAATCCTTCTTCAATTTCTACTTCTACACATTCTGATACTTATCACAGCCAATCTTACTTGCTTTGAAAGCCATACGATTGCAAAGCACAATAACCCTTTCTCAAGTAAGACCTTCTAATAGGGGGACTCCACATAGACATTATTTTATCTGGACAGTTATCCCTTAGTATCCATAGGACATTGGATCTAGTGCATTCCAGATATCAAAATCTGTGGATGCTCCAGTCCCATAAAATGGCTCCTACATGTGAAACCTGGAAGAAACTCCTGACTCCTGGCTTCAGCCTGGCCCAGCCTCAACTGTTGCAACCATTTAGGGAGTGAACTAGCAAACGGAAGATCTGTCTGTCTCTCCCTCTCTCTTTCAAATAAAAAATTAAAAAAATGAAAATTTGAGGTTGAAAGAATCAATGATATGGACTAAAAAGTAAAACTAAAATTGATGACAGAAAGTAAGGGGAGATAAAGGAAAATTAGGTTTACAGTGTCATTCCAGTGACATCAGGAAAGAGAAAGAGCTAACTTTTTTGTAAGGGAGTAATACATGCAATCTAAGATCAACAATCTCATCATAAAGTTAGCAAAATACTTAGCATATAAAGACAGGTCCAGAGGAACAAAATGCAATTTGATATGTACCTTATCTACAGCAAAATGAAACCATTTGCAAGCTTCTCATTTGCTGAGTCTACTGGGGGTAGCAAATATTTGTTTACAAGCATCTGGTGGGAAATAGAAATCCACAGTACATTAAAGTTATTGCTAATGTTTTATTACATACTCTTTGATTATAATAATGAATAGCAGTTTAAATTACTGCATATAATTTCCAAAGACTTAATTGAGTTTGTTTAGGAAAAAAAATCAAATTAGAATTTATTTGCTCCTAGCATTATTTTTATATTCTCACCTGGGAAGAATTACCATCTTAGCAATTATGTAATAGCTAACTTTAAAAAATAGGAATTAAAGATTTATTAAATACATCAGACATAAATGTAGGCTTGAGATAGTTCAGTATGGCCAATTAACTATTTTGAAAGACTCTAAAGCTCAAATCTTTTTCTGTGGCTGGAGACCCCAGCTGGAGATTTGCCAGCACAGGTGTAACAAGCAATTGCTTTTGTGTATCAGATTTGATCATGCACAGCCATCAGGAGAGGCTGGTACAAACTCCGATTCAGTAGGTCTAGAGTACAGCCCTGGATTCCAGTCTTTAACAAGTTCTCAGGGATGCTGGTAGTTTATGGCCCATACTTTTAAATACGAAGGTCTAACTCTGGTCATTCTTGATGCCTATTGGGATTACCTGGGTAGCTTTTTGGAAGATCAGCATTTCTAGTGGTAAAAGTTTAATTAGTCTGGGATACGGTCTAGGCATTGATAGTTTTAAGAGCTCCCAAGGTGAGGATAACAGACCATTAAATTTGAGAACCTATGGCCTAAAATATATTGGCTAGATTTATTAGGTTTATTTCAGTATTGCATAGATTATGGGAACAGATGTCCAAACACCTTCAAATTCTTAGTAAGCATATTATTGATAAGGTATATTTAGAATCTTGGTGGCTTCAATGTTATAGTCCCATTATGTTATTTCATAATATACCTCTAATTTAAAGTTAGGTATCCATGGAATTACAATGAAATAAGGAGTTATTTTTAATTATAAAGTAGACATATAGAAGTATAAATATGCAGTTTTAAAGTGTAGGGTAACGTCTGTTCTCATCAACATAAAAATGTCCAGAGTAGGAAGTTTACAAAAAATAATCCCCAAACCTGTTATTTATGCCACGAGGAAGTCCTACAAACAGAAAAGTTTACCTAGTATATTCCCCATTTAAAGAGTCACTGTTCCAGCAGCTACAAATTGGATTATTTTGCTAAACTGGATTCTGTAAAAGGTCAAATGCAACTCCATTCCCAGGGCTCCCTCCTTCTTAGAAGGAATATTTAATGAATATACATCAGAAATATTTAATGAAAAAGAATATTTTACTCTTTGAGGTATTTGCAGAGATTCCCTAATTATGAGTGTACTTCAAAAAATTTATGAAACATGGAAGATAAATTAATTTTGATGCAGAAAATCCTGAAACTGTGTATAGAGGGGTCTTCAAAAGGTTGAAAGAAAATACATATTATTTTAAAAAATGCATGATTTAAAATTGTTTTGCAGGGGCAGCTGGCGCTGTGGCATAGGGGTAAAGCTGCCTTTCACATTAGCATCTCATCTGGGTGCCAGTTTGTGGCCCAGCTGCTCTGCTTCCAATCCAGCTTCCTGCTAATGGCCTGGGGAAACCAGCAGAAGATGGCACAGTTGTTTGTGCACTGTCACCCTTGTGGCAGACCAGGATGAAGCTCTTGACTCCTGGATTTGGCAGGCCCAGCCCTGGCAGTTGTGGCCATTTAGGGAGTAACCGAGTGGGTGTAAGACTGCTCTCTAATTCTGACTTTCAGAATAAATAAATAAATTATAAAAAGTTTTGCACCAAAATAAGATCTTTCAATTTCATGTCCCATGACATGAAATTTCCTATTGGATTACAAGTCTACTACAATATACTAATGGTGTGAGTTAAGCTTTCTAAATCAGCTTTTTCACACAGAAAATAATGCAACAGGAATGTTGAAAAGTACAAACCAATGCTACCTATAAATATAAGACAGTATTAAGTTTAACTTTGAGCAGCCAAAATAAATAAATAAATAGACACAAAATGCCGTGGCAGTGTCTCAGTGCAAAGAACTGAAGTTCAGATTTGGGACTACTGACTCCTTCCAGGTTTGCTATTAATTAGCTACTTAAGCAAATCTCATTTTCAAAATAAACCTCAGTCTCATCTTAAAAATAAAGAGGTTCATAGGGATTATCTTCAGATTCTCCAGAACAAATCTCTAATCTGAAACAGTTACCCTCTAAAGCAAATATGATTAATTCTAACAACAAAATGCCAAGTGTTTACTTATAACATGATGGATTAAACAAGTCTCTTAAGAAAAATACCATTTTAAACTGTACTCAAATCTACTAACTGTTTCACTACTACTTAAAATTGTCAACCACCCTGCTCCCCCAAAAAAAGTCTGGGGTTGGTGGGGAGAAAAGGGATCATTAAATATAATGCATGAACATCATGTAGAATTAAAATTATATAAACCGGTAAAACGCTTTTCCCTAAGGAAAACTATTACAAAGTATGCAGATTTTATGACCTATCCCAAACAATATACAGCCATGTTTATTAAGTATGTAAAATCTTCATATTAAAAATAACTCATAATGCCCATATAAAAGTATCCCAATTAATAAAGATAATAGTACATGGAGATTATTTCCTTTTAGTTTATTATTTAGTCTGAATACATGTCCTGCTGACCATAAAACACCCAGTGCAACCAAACACAAGAGAAATTCCTGAATGAATCAAAAAGTGTCCCTCTTGCAGCTGTCACAAGGATGCTAAGGAAACCTAACAGTGGCAGAGTGAGACAGAGGGTGTCTTAATTCCAAGTCTCACTCATCAATCCTCTTCAGAACTGGAGTTATCCTCTTGGTCGGAGAGCTCAGCCACAGGGAAGCGAAGAATGGCCGCTACTCCAGTCAGCTGGCTGAGCTGCTCCCCAGACACATGAAGACTGGAGAATATCCTGACCGTGCCTGCGTTCTCCTTCACACTGTCCACCAGCTTCACATACCGGCTCCGCGTGGCTACATCCTGGTGCCTGAAGAGCTCATCGCTGATGAGCAACGTGTCGATTGCCATGGCTTCGTTGGCCTTCTCCACCTGCTTGAGTCCATAGAAGGCTCGGTCAGGTTCGTGCTGTAACATTTTATAAAAGTCATCCAGGGCTTTTACTTCCCCAGCAGCTTTAGTGTCTGAAAGGCGGCTGGCTACGGTAGGGTCACAAAGGGCCTCTTTCAAGGAGTACTTGTGTCCAGAGGAGGCATGTACCTAGAATCACAATTATCAAAGTTAGACAAAAGCAATCTCTCCCAGCACCCCTTAACCAGCCCACACCGACCTAAAGCCAGACATTAATTAGGCTTTGTATGTTCAAGGACTTCAACACAGTTCATTAAATAAATCTGCGAGCTATTTTACCGCTTCTTTTCATCTCCTTATCTCATTTACAATCCCAACCAACCACAGGACTTTCTTTCACTTTCCCCAGCTCTAAAACTTCAGGGGTGTTTTTTCACCAATCCCTCCACCCTGTTCTTAATCGACCCCGGGTTAGGACTGCTTTACCTGAAGGAATTTGGACCGGTTTTCGAGGAGCACTTTGTTGTCAGTCTTCACTGCTTGCTGAAACATGTAGTCGCAGAATTGCTCCCTCACGAACCCCGGGCTGGCCACCAGGATGCACTTGACGACGTCAAAGTGTATGTGGCGCTGGATGGCCTGCACCACCTGCTCGTAGAACCGCTCCAAGGCCCGGTCGTGCTGCGAGCAGTTGCCTTTCCTCTTCCTGGGGATGTTCACCTCCACCTTGGCCCGGGTGAGGGTCATGCTGGGAGTGACTAAGCAGATGTGGGCGAGGCCTTCCTGCATGACCACGGCCGCCACATCAGCGCTCCAGGCAGGGTCGCAGGCCTGCTCGATGCGCTCCAGAACCACGCTGTCCCACTGCTTCTTGGCCAGGGTGAACTGGCGGTTGGGCTCCAGCTCGATGGTGTGGTAAGCCCCCATCTTGACGTACTCGTTCTCTTGGATGTTGGTCCCCTTGACCCGCAGCTGGCAGGCTTGGGAGTCGAAGTCGATGGCCTCCACGCACAGAGTGAGGGTGGTGCGCACCCGGTTGCTGCCCACGCTGCCCGTGGAGGACTCGGTCTGCACCTTGCGGATGGTGGAGGCGCGCAAGCTGTCGCCCACCTGCACTAGGTTGTACGTGTGCCACATGTCCTCGGGCTCCTCGGGGACCAGGGTCACCTGGCCCGCGTTGTCCTTCTCAATGTCCTTCCTCACGAGCTTCATGGCCTTGGCGGGGGCTCACCGACCACACGAGAACCGAAGGGGGTCGCCCCCTAGGAAAGGGACAGGGAAGGGGAGGCTAGGCCGGGAAGGGGGCGGGTCCGCTTTCTACAAGTACCTGCCGGGCGGGGAGACAATATGCTCGCTCTGATTCCCGTGGCCGAGGAGAGCACTTACTCTAGCCCTTCCTTGCTCCGTCTCCGGACTCGTGGCACCGAAGGCCCTCGGGAGGCACCCCCGCGAACCCGGCCCTCTCCGGGGCCGCAGCTGCCAGCGCGGAGCAAGAGGCTGACGCAACGAGGGCGCCTGCGCAGCCCGCGTCCCGCCTCCACGGCGCACGTCGTACGTGCCCGGCGGAGGGGCGGGGCCTCGGCTTGCGCGCGCGCAGGCGCACTAAGCGGCAGGCGCTCGGGACAAATAAACCGCCCTGAGCGCACGGAATAGTTGGTGGCTGGTCCTAGTCCTGTTTTTTAATGCTTTGGCTTAGATCTACGTTTTCCTTTCCACGTCTGTTTTTGAGAACTGGGTGCGGTTGCCACTCTACCCCTTCCCTTGGGGCAAATCCAGTTTCAAAACTTGAGTAAAAGGACCTTTCAAAGTGCAGACTTGGTCCCACGGGGTCCAAACTGCGCTGGGTTTTGCTCCCGCCTTACCCGCACCAGGACGCTATGCGCCAGTGGGAGCTGGTAGTCGCGCCGGCGACTTCTAAGAACTGGTCCCGCCGGGTCTGGGCTGCGAGCGGCGAGCGAGGCCAGCTGTTCCCGGCGCTTAGCTATCGCGTCTGCACAATCTCGTTAACCCAGATGTCAGAGCGCTGATCCCAGAGGGACAAGAAGCTATGTGTGGAATGCTCCCCTGGGTGGACTTCTCAAGTTGCCTGACCTGAAGTCCTGGGAATCCCACAATCCGGAGCCAGCCTTTTTGGCTTTCTGCAGCTCAGCAGCCTGTGCGGTGTTTGGGCTGGGGGTTGGGTCCCAGTAGCTTAGGGCCGGATCCTCACTGCCCGACCTAAGGTGGCAGCTGATGGTATGGCAAGTCGGTGGGGTCTGATCCGCGGTCACCGACCCCAGTTTTTACGGAATCGATTTCAAAGAAAATCCTTTAGTTACCCCCGCTTTTTTTTTTTTTTTTAATTGGTGCACTGGGTGGTAATGGGGTGGGGAAGTGGATTGCCTGTTCAGATGACAAGTGAATAGGAAAAAAAATCACCAGGCTTTTCTTGAGAGTTAAGATAGAATGCAGGGCTCAGAAGTGCTGCACACACACCTTCCCTTATTTCCTGTCTTGTTGCACATGTATTTGAGAGGGGAGCCCACCAACCCCATCTGGATGAAAGAGCAATCCGCCTATAGCACAAAGCTGGATAACATTTACTCAACTACCAGTTATCTTCTCAGTGGCTCACGGGTCTGGGGGCCAACAGACCTTTTCCAAGTTCTAGTCCATATTAGAGCCGCATTTGTTTTGTGGCTTCTCTCCCCCATCCCCCTAATCCCCCACCTTCTGTGTCCTCACTTTCCTATCCTAATGAGTGCTCTCACAAAGTTCCTAATGCACTCTGCTGCTTACAAATCTGAGAGAATCCCAAAACTTTTTAGCACTGGAGTGTGAAGCTGGCTGCTTCTCCATAGGGGATTGTATCTTTTAAATTAGAATTCCTAATTGGTGGGGTGAAAGTATGCATTGGATGCCTGTGTGTGTGTGTGTGTGAGAGAGAGAGAGAGAGAGAGAGAGAGAGAGAGAGAGAGAGAGAGAGAACTGACTGAGAAAGTGCATTTTGAGCTGCAGGCTTTGAAGTGCCCCTTGATCACCAGTCTAAGTACTATTCATTTCTCCCCATAGTCTGCCAAAGATCGAATCACAGTGGTAGGCACACAGTAGGGTCTTAATACAAGGTTTTTATTGAAAAGCTATCACGTATTTAACATTGCCAAGTACTTTCCTTTCCTATGCATTTTTTATCCTATCCTGTAAGGTAAATATTACCTTTATTTTATAGAATAAAGTGTAAATGTAGAGAAGTTAACAAATGAGTTCAAGATCACTTAAGTAGCTTCCAAATTCAGGCCTCCTTAGCTCCATTCCTTATTCTTTTCTCTTTCCACTCCTACCATCCTTCAGTTGCAAGTTATGTGCTGTTATCCACTGTCACTTCTCCTGTTACCTCTACCAGTTAAAGACCCACTGCAAGCCAACCTAGAGGATTTGAAAGGCACTGGTCTCTTCCCTGATCTTTCATTACCTCTTAAGAACACTCCATTCTTCTTTCCCACAGTCTTCCTTCTGCTCAGCCTAGGTGATCATATGATCTTTGGGAAAGATCTGATATTCTATTTTAGAAAAATATATGTTTATTTCTGAATTTGAAACTTGTAGAAAACCCACATTGACTCTTAATTCCATGATTCTTTAACAATTTTTTTAAAACTGTAAACTTTAAAACTTAAAACTTTGTGCTTTTTAAATAGCAAGTCTTCCATGATTGAACACAGTACATAATTTTTCATAGTTATTATTTGATATGAAATATCTGTAACAGTTTAGAACTTTTTAAAAGTAATGTGATTATTGTTGAATGATAAGATGTGTTTTCCTAGCTTTTTTCTTGTTATGGCTTAGTATTTCTAGACCTAGCAGTATAGTTTTATTTTGAGTTAATTTGAGTTCTCATTCACTGTTAATTCAAGCGTCAAATCTTAGCATTTAAGTCTCACTTTTCTGGTTTTACAAACTTTATTTCCCATTTGTCCCTCTGGGCACCCTGTATTGAACCTTGAGAGTCACATTTGTTACCCATGCATTCTAGGACCCCTTCTACTTCACTGCCTTAGCTCATACCATTCTGGTCACACAATGTCACTCATGTCACCCCTGCTTCAGTAAATCCTTTCTATTTTTAAAGACCAGTTTACTTCTTGTCTCAAACTTGAAACCATGCATTCTATTAATTTGAATATGTGGTTTTCTTTCCTATTGAACTCCAGATGAATTCACCCTTGTATCTCTCCACTATTCCTTGCATAATGTCAGCACGTTTATAAGTGGGATAAGCTAGGTGAGTCAGATATCAAGTGTGGCTGGCATATTAACATTCAAATGGACATTTCCTCAGGCCCTGTTATTGGTATCTACTGTAGGTCACTCATTTAATAAATGTAGATTAAAAACTATTTTTTTTTTTGACAGGCAGAGTGGACAGTGAGAGAGACACAGAGAAAGGTCTTCCTTTTGCCGTTGGGTCACCCTCCAATGGCCGCCGCTGATCCAATGGCAGGAGCCAGGTGCTTCTCCTGGTCTCCCATGGGGTGCAGGGCCCAAGTACTTGGGCCATCCTCCACTGCACTCCCTGGCCACAGCAGAGAGCTGGCCTGGAAGAGGGGCAACCGGGACAGAATCCGGCGCCCCGACCGGGACTAGAACCCGGTGTGCTGGTGCTGCAAGGCGGAGGATTAGCCTAGTGAGCTGCGGTGCCGGCCGAAAAACTACTATTATTATAGATATATTTTAATGCTTTTCCAAAATAAGCAAAATCATGAGAAAAGGGCCAGTGTTTAGTTCTGTTGCTTTAAATTCCAATTTTGTACTTATTTTTGCTGGCTCCTTGAGAATAAAAACATTTGTATCAGTAACTTTAATTACATATAGTTTTCCTATAATATCTTATTTATAGTAATCTCTCGAAAACAAAAAAAGAGTCAATGTTGTTACTTCCAAGAGTTTTTAATTTGTTGTTTTTGAGACACTTCCAGTGTCTCAAAAACAAGAATTAGGCTAGAAATCAAGAGAATTGCAATTCTTACTCTTTAGTTGTTTTTCCTGTGATTTTTGGCAACACACATTCTCTTTGAATCTCAATTTTCTTAAGAATTGAGGGAATTGAATTCAATAATTAAAATCATTGTAATTTAAAATATTATGGTGCAATAATGTTTAAAAATTTAAAACATCTATTATCTCACCCTAACATATTTGTTTTTAATTTTACATACTATCTTTTTTTATAGATTTATTTATTTATTTGAAAGGCACAGTGACAGAGACAGAGAGAAAGATATCTCTTCCATCTGCTGGTTTGCTCCCCAGATGGCCATAATAATTAGGGCTGGGCCAGGCTGAAGCCCGGAGCCAGGAGCCAGGAACTCCATCCAGGTCTCCCATGTGAGTGGCGGGGACCCAAGGACTTGGGCTATCATCCACTGCGTTCATAGGTACATTAGCAGAGAGCTGAATTAGAACAGCCAGGACTCCAAACAGTGCTCAGATATGGGAGGCTGGTGTTGTGAACTTAACCAGCTGTGCCACAACAGCAGCCCTGCATGCTATGTTTGATTGAATCTTGACCATTTTAGCGGTAAGAGATTGACTGCAAGGTTAATGCTTACATACCAAGAATCAGCAGAGCTTACAGACTTGTTGGAGTCTAGTAACTTTGCATAAGTCCTTTCACCTGTAGAGACTACACTCATTCTACTGTAAATAAGATTATTTTTCCTGCCTCATTTGACAGTCTTTCTGAGATTCTACTGAGCTTATATACTTTGTAAATTGTAGAGCTCAGTAAACATGTAAAATACTATGATAAATCTCCAAAGAATGCCTGGCTGGAAGCTACAAATAAGCATCAGACAGGGCAAAGGGCAAGGGCTCACATTACATGATAGTGAATATTCAGCCTTTGGGGAGAAAAAAATTTAGAGTCGGCTGAAGCCTTATCTGGTATGTACATTTATTTATTTTAGCACTTTCTTTTTTTTTTAAGAAAAATTTAAAAAGATTTATTTATTTATTTATTTTAAAGGCAGTGTTAATTACAGAGAGGCAGAGGCAAAGAGAGAGAGAGGTCTTCCATCCACTGGTTCGCTCCCCAGATGGTTGCAATGGCTAGAGCTGCGCCCATCCGAAGCCAGGAGCCAGGAGCTTCTTCCAGGTCTCCAATGCAGGTGCAGGGGCCCAAGGACTTGGGCCATCTTCTACTGCTTTCCCAGGCGATAGCAGAGAGCTGGATTGGAAGTGGAGCAGCCGGGACTGGAACTGGCACCCATATGGGATGCAGGCACTGCAGGTGGCGGCTTTACCCACTATGCCACAGCACCAGCCCCTAGTACCTTCTTTACAGAAAAATCTTAGGTCAACCCTAATCTATGAGATGTTGATATACCTCACTGGTGAATTGGATTACAATCCCCCCTATTATAATAATACAATACATGCGGTCTGTGTGGCAGCAGCAGGGATTATGGGCTCTTGAAGGATGGAAATCCTGTTTGACACACTCTACGCTTAGCACTGCCACCCTGAAACGGTAGCGGCTGAATAAACTGTCTTGGTTTTTGTTTGTTTGGTTTCTTGTTTATTTCTTTTTTTCTGTTTGTGAGGCTTACCTTCCTGCAACACAGCCCTGATCTTCTCATTCCTCTGCTTTAAGCACCTTGTGGGCTTCCTATCATTCCTTCTTTGCATGGCTATTGCTTCCTCCAGACCATGAGCCTCATGAAAAGGAAAGACTACCTTTTATTTATCTTTCTGCTCCTGGAATCCAGCAAAAAAGTAGTTCGTCATCATGTTGTATGAGAAAATGAGTAATTATTAGTTTTCCTTTAACTCAGTTTTAGACTTTGTGGTCATTGACATCTTA